AGAGATGAGCGATACAAGTTTGGTTGTCACATACCTGTGAAGTGTGTCGCGCACTCCCCGAAGAAGAAGATTGCGGCCATAGCCGCGAAGCTTGACCACGGAGTGACGAAGAAGGGAGAGAGAGTGGACAGAAGGAGAGACCGAGAAGGGGGAGAGAAGCCATAGCCGAGGAGAGGAAGAAGAAGAGGTGAACAAAAAAAAAAAGAAAAAAAAAAGAAGACAGCAGGGTGTAAGGAGGCAAGGAAGGTGAAAGGAAGAAGGAGGTTGGTAAGGGAAAGAGGAGCCGACAGCCATAGTTGACCGAAGGGTTGACCGGGAGAGTTGACCGGAGGCGTTGACCGACGTTGACCGGAGTTGACCGGGGGTTGACCGGAAGTTGACCACAACGTTGACCGGCGTTGACCAAGACTTTGACCATCTGGAGCCGGTAAAATCTCACCAAGCCTTCAGCCTACCCCTCGCCCTATGGATGTGCACACACCCTGTGGTACTTGCTGAGTCCAGTCAAATTGTCTCTTCTTTCTGCATTGATTCTCTTCTGTCCTAGGTGATAGTACTCTGTGGATGAAGGATAGGGCCTTGTTGACCAAACCCACACGGTCTGAGTAGGGCTAAAGACTGTGTCTGACGGCTCGACTGTCCCGGAGGCCTAACCCTCCCAAGGACCGGTACTGACCGGCGGGCTGCTCGGTGTGGCACGGTAGGCCCGAAATCTGAGCTGTGGACTGCACAACAGGTCGTCTAAGTCTTGAGAGACCTGCTGATCGCCGTCAAACCAGTTGTGCACTTATCACCATGGTTGAGACCCGTAGTGGGACGAGTAGTAGCCCCTACACCCCTGAGAAGCAAGAGAACATGGCCGCCCTAGTGATAGAAAACAAAGAGAGGAAGGAGCTCGAGAAGCAGGCGAAGCTAAAGGCAATCGCAGAGGAGCAGGCGGCAAAGATGAAGAAGTTGGAGGAGGAGATGAAGAGAGTTCAGCAGGAGGAGGAAGAGAGGAGAAAGGCTGCTGAAGAAGAAGCAGCAGAAGAAGAAGCAAAAGAGAGGATGCGTATTGAGAGTAGAGACGGGAGCAGTGGCACGGAAAAGGATGAAGACGCAGAGATGGAGAAAAAGATAAGTGAGTGGGTCGCTAATTTATCATTGGGGGAAGACGAGGAGGCGGAGTCGTATGTGCCTCAGGATGAGAGAGATGCGTTAGCCAGAGAGCTAATGGCAATGGAGGACCCCATGGAACGGCGAGAAAGACAAGAGGAGCAGAAGTTGGAATGGAAATTGAGAATGAAGAGGGAGAAGAAGAGAAGGAGGGAGGAAGTCACTAGGCTGACCGCAGAGGTGGCAAAGGTGAAGGACTGTAGGCAAGAAGTGGAGGCCCAGGCAGACGACAAGGCCAAATGGGATAAGGTGTTGGGGTACCTGGAGGTGTTGAGCGCAGCGTGGATGGAGGAGCGCCAAGCCAGTTGGGGTCAAGAGGTAGCCTTGAGTGCCATGTGGTCGGGGTTTAGGGACTTTGCGCGCGATATGGTTACCCACGTTGGGGGAGAAGTCAGGAAGTTGAGAGACAACGTGGGAAAGTTCTGCGAAGGTGCCATTGAAGGTGCCAAAGCGATAACCACTGTAGAGAGCGAGGCCAGACCCCGTAAAGCTCAAGTTCCCAGATGCATACAGGGGGAAAGAAGCAGGAGAATTTTGACAACTAGGAGGCCAGTGTCGACAATTATGTGTACTTACAGCATATCTTGACAGAGGAGCAAGTCCTCGTAGCTTTCTAGGCCCTCAAAGATGAAGCGGCTAGTTTTGCTAGGTCCCTTGCACGCGCAGCCGGTTGTGAAAACAACATGGTTGCATATTCCAAGATCACCACCCTTCCTCAATTCTTCAAAGTCCTGAGGGAGAGATTCGCTGACCCAATGAGAGGCGTTAGAGCCTCTGACAAGTTACAGACGATCCACTCGCAATAGTGGAGAAGTGCGAGAGCACTCCAGGGCATTATGGACGACTTGGTAGCCGTCCCAGAGCATGGGGTCACTGAGACCCAATTGGTCCAGTTATTTTAACGTGCCATGCCAGAGGCCCTGCGTGGGCATTTCTTTGACAAGTCTGAACATGCCGACATTACTTATCATGCGTTGAGTAGGGAAGTGGTCCTGTACGAGTCAAAGTCCATGCCAGTTACCACTTTCTGGCATAAGGACCTGGATAAGGGAAAAAGGTGGAAAGGCCGTACCATCTCAGGCCAGGTGAGGGCCAAGGATCACATGATCCTTACCTTAGAGGAAGTTGGTACAGACGAGGTCCCATACAGTCAGATTGAGTGGGGCCTCGAAGAGGAGGACAATAGCGTGGGGCAGGGGAGGTACTATGTTGCTGTCGCGGCTGGAGGGAGGCCGCAAAGTAGAGGAGGAGGCCAGGGCCAAAGGGGCCAGGCCATGGGAGGCCGAGGACTAGGCGCACAGGGGGTTGGCGGACAAGGGAACCACCAAGTGGGAGGTAGGGGTCAAGGTCCCTTGCTGAATCGCCAAGGTTCTTGTCGGTGCCCACAACGACGAGGTGGAAGGGCACCTCAAGGAGGATGGCACCCAGTCTTGCCACAGGGCAGGCCCTGGGAAAATTTGGGCTTGGACCAACGTTTATGGCCGGAACGCGTGGACCTGGGTCAGTGCGTATTTTGTGGTGACTCGGCCCACGTCATTAAATTTTGTCCTAAGTATAAATAGGCTCGTTGGGCTGCCCAACAGTCAAAAGGCAGCCACCAGTAGGGGTCGCAACTGCCCCTACTTCAAGGCCATGTGGGGAAGCGAGCGCGCGCGAACAGGAAACCCCCAAACCACATGAGCCTACGGTAGAGGTTGCAGGCCCGTGCCTAGCTAGCTGTCCAGAGAGTGCTTGTGTTAGCGTCTCTCTAGGCACGTCCCTCACAGGCGTGGCAGATGAGCTGAAGGAGAGAATGCCAGCCTGGGCCAAAATGAAGAAGGAGAGTAAGGGACAACTGATCTTAGTAGACGTAGAGGTGTTTAGAAGTAGAGTAGGGGCCCTTATTGATTCAGGGGCCACCCGCAGTTATATTAGCTATAGGGTGCTGAAGAAGCTGAGGCTAGGACTAAAAGTCCAGAAGTTAGCAGACCCCATAGTCAGTATCCTCGCAGACAACCACACGATGCGTGTTGAGGACTACGTAGAGGGAGTCCAAGCCTACTTTCGCCTAGAGAAGGATGGGAAGGTGGAGAAAGTTCTCCATTCCCTGACTCTCCTCGTACATGATGACCTTCCTTTTGATGTAGTGTTAGGAATGGATTGGGGAGAGGTAGCATGGGCCACACTCCATTTGAGAGAGCATGAGTGTAGGCTCCCTAGCCCGTCAGGCGAGGTTTAGACTGCCCGCTTGTTTCATGTGTCAGGTGTAGACAACACCTTTGCACATTGCTATCTCAGTGCTCCCGCGTTCGCGCGGTTAGTGAAGAAGGAGCGATTAGAGGAGCATGCCTTTGTAGTTTATGTTAGACCTGTCACTGAGGCTAAGGAAGAGGTGACTTCCACAAATCCAACCATTGCCAAGCTGCCGGCGGAGTTTAAAGACTTGACTGAGTCGCCGACAGGAGTAGTGTCGCGATTCATCCATCACAGGATAGAGATAGAGCCTGGCAGTAGAACTCCTAAGGGAGCAGTCTACAGGATGCCCCCTAGAGAGTTAGAGGAGCTACGTAAGCAATTGGACGAGCTCCTGGAGAAAGGTTGGATCAGGCCCAGTTCGTCTCCTTTTGGAGCACCTGTCTTGTTTGTCCCCAAAAAGGAAGGAGAGCTTCGTATGTGTATAGACTATAGGGGTTTGAATGCGATTACTATAAAGAATGTTGAACCGCTGCTCAGGATAGGCGATCTTCTAGATCGGGTGCAGGGTTGCAAGTACTTCTCAAAGATAGACCTGAAGTCCGGATACCATCAGATAGAGGTCCATCCTGATGACCAGTATAAGACTGAAGTTCCGGACTAGATTTCGGCATTATGAGTTTATAGTGATGCCCTTTGGACTAACCAACGCGCTAGCTACTTTTCAGCGTTGTATGAATGATTTGTTCAGACCATGGTTAGATAAGTTTGTAGTAGTCTAGATGATATATTAGTCTTCAGCAAGACCCTCCAGGAGCATCAGGGTCATTTGAGGCAGGTCTTGGAGAAACTACGAGAGGCTAACTTCAAGATCAACGCAAAGAAGTGTGAGTGGGCCAAGACACAGGTCTTGTACTTGGGCCACGTGTTGGACGGAGATGGCATTAAGCCAAATGATAGTAAGATAGCGGCGATTAGAGATTGGTCGATGCCCCGCACACTGACAGAGTTGCGGTCGTTCCTAGGCCTAGCTAACTACTATAGGAAGTTCGTGAGGAACTTCTCCACTATCACCGCTCCCTTATGCAGGCTGCTAAAGAAAGAGGCAATCTGGCAATGGGACAAAGACTGTACGTCTGCGCTAAAGTAGCCGATCCGTCTTTGCCATTCGTCGTCACCACGGACGTGAGTCAATATGGGATAGGCGCCGTGTTGCAGCAAGACGACGGCAATGGCTACAGACCCGTAGAGTTCATGTCAGCGAGGATGCCCTCAGAGAAGGTTGCTACCTCGACGTACGAGAGAGACCTCTACGCTCTCAGGCAGGCCTTAGAGCATTGGAAGCATTACTTGCTTGGGAGGCACTTCGAAGTGTATTCTGACCATGAGACGCTTCGATGGTTAAAGACTCAGGCCAAGATGACACCTAAGCTAACTAGGTTGGCCGCTGAAATCGATCAATATGACTTTGAGCTCAAGCCAGTGAAGCGCAAGTACAACGTAGTTGCGGATGCTCTGAGTAGAAGATCAGACTACTTTGGAGCCATTGTGCACTATCTGGATATAGGGAGTGACCTGCAGCAGAGAGTAAAGCAAGCGTATGCTCAGGACCCTATCTACAGTGACCTCCTCAAGAGGGTTAAGGAGGCCCCAGAAACCGAACCACAGTACCGCACTACAGAAGGATTGATGTTTGAGAAGACAAATGTATTCGACCGCCTGTGCGTTCCCAATAGTGAGGAAATCCGCAGTTTGATCCTAGGGGAATGCCATGACACAGAGGGACACTTTGGTTGGCAAAAGACACTAGCCAATCTGATGCGTGCGTACACCTGGCCAGGGATGAAGAATGACTGCATAGAATATGTTCGCAGTTGCAAAGTTTGCCAGAGGAATAAGACTACTACACGCGTGCCCCTAGGTCTCCTCAAACCGCTGCCTATTCCTGATCAGCCTGGAGACTCAGTGTCCATAGACTTCATGGATACTCAAGTCAAGAGTAGGCATGGCAAGAGCTAAGTCATGGTCATAGTTGACCATTTTAGCAAGTATGCCGTTTTTGTTCCTTTGCCTGCAGAGGCACACATAGAATTAGCTATCCAGAAGTTTTTTTATCATTGGGTTAGTGAGAACGGAATCCCATTATCCATAGTTAGCGATAGAGATAGTCGTTTCACCAGCCAGAACTGGCAAGAACTCATGAGAGTTTACGGATCTAATTTGTTAATGTCGTCTGGCCGCCATCCAGAGACCAACGGCCAGACAGAACAGATGAACAAGATCCTACAGCAAGTTCTGCGCATGTACATTAGACCAGATCAAATCAACTGGATGAGATGTTGCCTAAGGTAGCTAGTGCATACAACAACAGCGTGCATCTATCCACCTGCCACACTCCCAATGAGCTGCACAAGTCCTTTAGACCACGCAGACCGTTCGAAGGACTGAACCGGGATCAGATTCACAGACTACCGCCCGGTACCAGGGAGTTCGCAGTACAGCACGAGAAAGAACTAGCAATAGTTGTTGAAAACCTCAGGAAGGCCCAACACAGAATGATAGAACAGGCCAACAAGCATCATCGCCCGTCTCAATTCCATGTAGGCGACTTAGTCTGGGTCAAGTCCAAAGAGTTTGCACCTGAGGAGCACATCTCGCAGAATTTGCTGCCTGCATATAGAGGACCGTGGCCGGTTCTAGAAGTCAAGGGGGGAGAGGATGTACCTTCCTACACTATAGAGATACCAGCACACCTCCACACATACCCTGTGTTCCATGCTTCAAAGCTGTTGCCGTGTGTCACAAGTCAACAGTTCCCTTCAAGAAGATCCATGATCCCCCCGGATATGGACGGAAGTTATGACATCGACGGCATTGTAGATGAGGATGTGTTCAGAACAGGAGGTAGAGGTCGTCCCCAGAAACAGTATAAGGTCCGGTTTGCTTATCAGGAACCAGAAGACGACCGCTGGTTCACAAGAACAGAACTTCTAGAAACAGCTCCCGACATAGTCAGAGCTTATGAGCGCGATAAGAAGGATAAAGGTCCTGCCTTGGACTGAAATATTCTCGGAGGACCTCGAATTTAGGACGGCGGGAGTGAAACGGTTTTCACCTCTTAGCAGTAGCAGATGCAGATCCCAAGGTTCGATCCCTAGACCTTGCCCTACCTGTGCACAGTACCTGGGTAGACCCCGAGAGTTGAACCCGCGACCTGTGTATTTGTACCGGTTAGTAGCCTGTCGTAGGGCCCCAAAGGAAGCAGGGGTTCGATCTGTAGATCTATAGAGTAGGAGTCTTAGCGAGTTCCAGAAGCCTAGCTGTAGTCCTTCTAGAAGGTCAGCAA